TTTACGATTTAAACATTATTATTGCCTCTTATGAGCTCCGTAACTTCACACGTATACTTTTCAATGATTTTTAAAAATTATGAACTAATTAAAATATATTTTACAACAAACATTCATAATACAACCACTCACTTTTTTCAATACCTTTGTTGGTAATTTAATGTGAAAGAGCTTAGAACTTCTCCCATTCCTTTTGCCTTATTTATTGCGCAAAAATTAATTGTTTTTCTAAACTTCAGCTAGTTCATCCCTGACAGTATTAATACCCGAAAAATAGTAGAAAAAGAATTTAACTCGTTGCGTCTGAATGCGCGGCGTGTATACGCGCCGTGTTTGTGTATGTACGCGTGTAAAATGTTTTTGTATATATTCACCACAATTGAAACACCGAGTGGAACGTGAAGCGAGCGGGAGTGTTGAGTTTTTGATTCGAGGTGAAGTTGTTGGGTTATTACTGTAAATTGCCAGCGGAGCGCCCTTTCCAACTTTTTTCCCCTTCTCTAAAAAACTCCTGGACGATTGCCTTTCACAATCGGATTGCTCAAAGGCGTTCGAGAACTCTTGGGGTTTCCCTCTTCACACTTATTTCACACACTTTTTCTTTATAAAATAATGTGTAGCCATTATTTCACTCCACGTTTTTAATAGCCGAAGAGATAATTAGTACTTTTGTACACTTTTATTTGCGCTGAAAAAATCCAATAAGGCAAGCACTAGCCGACAAATTTTCAACCACGCTTCGAATGATTTTTTCCATCGTTCTACAATCCACAAAGCGCCGATGATGAAAGCGCTGCCAGCTGAATAAAATTTTAAATTTTCTTAACTGGCAGTCTTCACAAGCTTGCAAATCTCGCTTGCGTTGTGCTTTTTTCTCTCGAAAGCGAGATAGTTTTGTTGCGTGGGTTCTTGGCAGCATATTTTTTCATTTGTAGAATGTTGCCAAAAAATACGGCACGAGCTCTGCAGGCTAAATTTTCATTTTCCACCAAAATAAACGATGTTGCTGCTCTGAAGAATTCAGCGAAATGGGAAAATACCTGTCAAACAACAAAAATGATAGTTGAAAGCATGCGAGAGCTCGCATATCGCTCGATATGCCGTAAATGTATTCTTCGTACTTAAAAAAAATGTCCAGTTCACTTTTTCTTCAATTGGCTGCAACATTGAGATTCTTAGGCGAAGGTGGTTACCAGAGGTCGGTAGGGAAAGATGCGAACATCAGCTTAGGTCCTAGCACTGTTTCAAAAGTTATTGGCAATGTGCTGAACCAGAACTGAACGTGTTCGAATGGAAACTATGCCAAAATTGGATCGAGATAACTGTGCCAGAAAGATTTTTATTAAAAAAATAACGACACCATTAAAAACATTTTGAATATTGTTAATTGCAATATTCTTCTGTGCGCCACTTTCACTTCTTTTAAAATCTCTTCCATATTGTCGTGATGATGCCTAAAATCTTTTTTAATTACGTTCAACATTACATTTATTTTCTCCAAAGCGTTGACGAACGACGCACGCAAAAAGTTGAGAGATGTCAATCTTTCTGTTTTACTTTTGCGTTGGGCTTGCCCAACTTCCTTTGAACTTCGGACTGAAACCTGTGAAACTGTCAAATTAAAATTTTCCTCTCTCAACTGAGAGTAAAAGGAGAACAGATGCAGAAGTGCACGGGAACGCAAAAAGTACTATTTCCTGTAAAAACGTCAGTCGGTTTGTTTACATGTCATTTGTACAACACTGATTTGGCTGAAATATCACTAACTAATTATTAAAATCTATACATATTCAAATATTACGTTGTTTACTTCCATTTTTCTACACATATAGGCTGCGTTTCTTTATACATTCCGGATAATCCCATTTCACAGCCGGAATAAACAGAATGCGTTTGAAATATACGTCAACATATCATCAGGAACGTTCTAAAGAATAAATAAACAAAAAAGTGTATTCCAAACGTTCAGAATGAATAAAGAAATGCAGCCATAAGGTTTTTTGCTTACACCGCTTCTGTTTTCGCTTGGACATGCAAATCAGCTGATCGTTTGACACTTTTCATGAACTTATAGGAAAAAAAACTCCGGACTAAAGCCGACATTAGTCAAAAACGCAGAACGTAACTTAAACGCAGAATATGTACGCAGAATTTTGTCGATTACTGGAAAAAAATAAATTTTAAGCCAAAAATTCAATACAAAAACTTCAATTGTTTTAACTATAACCAAACATTTGTTTGTGTGTATATTCGTTTGTCGGTGCTATCAATTAAAATATCCTCACTTAATTAGGAAACAAAACAAACGGAGTTGATTACAAATTGATCCAGATTTCTATCAGCATCACATCGATGTTGAATTTGCGTAACTTTTCTTTATCCAAATAATGTAAAATAATGGCTGCATTTCTTTATTCATTCTGAACGTTGGGAATAAACTTGTTTGTTTACTTATTCTTTAGAACGTTCCTGATGATATGCTAACGTATATTTCAAACGCGTTCTGTTTATTCTGGCTGTGAAATCGGATTATCCGGAATGTATAAAGAAACGCAACCAATAAATGAAATCTCGATCGGTGATCACCGAAACGCAGCTAACCACTGTATACGCGAAAAGCAACGTTGCCACTTTTTCTCATTTAACCATAGGAGCGTTCCTTATCTCCCAGAAATAGTCAGAAAAAGTCCGAAGTAGTCAGATTTAGTCCAAAAAGCGTTCCTTAACTCGGAAATGACAGCAAAAATGAGAGAGCAACACTCGGTGAGAGTGACTCTCATCAGTCCGAAGTAGTCAGATTTAGTCAGAAGAATTTTTTCTGGCAAAATCCTGAAAAGTGTCAAACTCGACTGAATTTAAATTAACGGAAATTAAAGAATACGCAAAAAGTGAGAATAATGTAAAAAGTAAAAAAAGTGAATTGAAATTGGAAGGAGGCAAAAAATAATTGATATAGAAATTGTTTATTGTGCTTGTTCTTATTTGACGTTAACTTTGTTGTTGCCATTCTTTGGACTAAACATTTGGTTTTTTGCGTTCCTTTACTTTTCCTGTTATTCTCTTTTAGTGAGCGCATTTTGCTTACGCTCTGACATTTTGACACTTTTCAGATTTTAGTCCAAAAAGATAAGGAATGAACCTCATGTTTGAATCCATGAACCAAAAATACAAGATCAAGTAAGAAAGTAGCCACGTAAGGCCCTGTCTCCACAGGAAAACACTGATGTCGTGATAACCATGTCACAAAATATATTTCCAATGGAGACCGCCTATTTCTCATGTGCTGCAATATATGTCAGCGCTTATTGCTTGACATCTATTGCAGGCAATTCGATAGTTTGACAGCCATATTTTCCTTTGGAAAAAAACGTGCTGGTGGTAACATCGATGAAATTTTGATATTAAATCAAAATAAAAATCTGTTCCCTATTGAATAATTTATGATTACGTTTTAGGAAATTATTTAGTTAGTTTTTTTTTAAGATTTAAATGTTTTTAAACACCGAAATTGAGAGAATGTTGTCTGGTGGCGTCATGCGGCAAATGCTTATTTCAAGACATCAAAGTGCCCACACACAAAAACTTGCAATGACATTGCTCGTCAAAATGACAGTTGGTAGGCCATCGCTGTTCGCCTGTGGAGTTCTGCGGTAAGTAAGAACAAGAGAGTGAAAAAAGTCGATTTTTTAGCGGGTTCTACGCCATCTTGTTTCACTGGAAAAAGAGAGAAAAGTAAACAAAGCAAAGAAAACAACGAAAACCAAAATTAGCCAAAATTATTGTCAGCCACTTTAAACGCACAATTTAGGTAAAATGATGCAACAAAATGCTTTAAAATGTGTTGTCATGTTGAGTTAACTCTTCTTTACTTGAGTAAAAGTGTAAAATAATGGTGCTTGTTATGTAAACAAACGCTCAGCTAACGAACCCGCTTTCGCAAACTTTTTTCTCAAAACCAGTTACAAATACAACGTCGCGTTCTTACGTGATCTTGTATTTTTGGTTCATGGCATGGCACAATAAAGCTGAAATTAGTCGAGAACGCAGAACGTGTACTTAAACGCAGTCTGTATACGCAGAATTTTGTCGATTACTGGAGCCCTCAGTGTTGCTTACTACACTGTTGCCACTCTTCAATGCCTTTTCATAAACTTACCCTTTCAACCCCAATTTTTCGTGCTATAATAGATTGTAGCTAAATATAAACTACTTAGTTTTCAACAAAAACCTTATTTAATAGTAAATTTCAAATATTTTAAACATATTTTGAATAGGAACTTATAACTTTTTTACCATCTGCAAAACTGACGAAGTGGCAACCATCTAAAGAAGGAGAAATCAGCTGACACGGAAAAATCTAAATTCCGCAGATTTCTGCGCTACGGGCTACAACTACAGAAAAATTCTGCGGCGTTGAGTTTTCATTTACATGGCGCTTTGGTAAGACAGATCGTGTCAGCTGACTCGGGTTTACGTACCGGTAGGTTTACGTTCTTGACTAATTTCAGCTTTAACCATGTACCATGGTTCATGGTTTGAATCGTGGAAATTTTAGAAGATCACAGGGTTGCTTTTAGCATTTAGATTCTTAATGCAAAAATGGAGTTGCATTTAGGTGACGAATTTTGTATGGATAAATGTACATTTACAGTAGCATTTAGAGCTAAATGCGCTAAATGTGCTTTTACGCGTAAGCAAAAACAGCCCATAACCTGCCTTTAGTTTGACAGCACTTGCCGCAGAAATAAAAAATTGCTAGTGCTGCACGAGCAAGATGAAATATATTTCGGAAATCGATTTGCGCTCTTTCAGTTGCAGTCACACCATGCAACTTTAATTTCTGAAGCTGAGTTCCGTAAAGTGACAAAAAGGTTTTTGGCTCATCACACATGTAAATAAAATTTCTTTTTCTCAATTTGGCAAGGAATTCCGTAAAAAAGTTTAAATATTGCCACGTCTGACACGCTCTTATTTTTCGCATATGGCAGCGACCCTGCAGGATCAGCTGTTTGTGGATGGTTTACTTGTTTAAAAAATCTCCGCAAATTTTTTAGATTTTTTGCTTTTAGCTAGATTTGCACATAAATATTACCAATAAGCAAGTTATCATGGATGACGCAGAACTTACACGGTAAGCGCTTAATACATATTTGTTTTACATAAATTCACCGTTAGTAATTTACAATTATAACAGGTTGGCGATAGCGGAAATCGTTCGCGAAATGGGTGAACTCAAAGAACTCCCAGTGCAGGAGCGCAAGATAAATCCGATAGCAAAGCCAAATAAACGTTTTCTTGGGCGCACATTGAACTCTGTGATGTCGCACAACAAGCGTGAAAACGATCGAACTCAGGAAAACTGTCGAAAGAAATTAAGAGAACTTGACGAAAGGCGTGGGCGAAAGTATTCTAAAAGTCGTTCTTCCAGCGGGGATCTCGTTTTGAGTAGTTCAACAGACGGTGATCGTCGGAGAAACTCAATGAAACGAAGAAAAAAGCGTAAGAAAACGATATCTAGAAAACAAAAAAAAGTAAGAAAAGTGAAAAATAAAAGCAAAAAACGTAAATCAAATAGACGTGAAAGCAGCAGCAGTAGTAGCAGCGAAAGTAGTTGCAGTTGTAGTACAAGTAGGAGCAGCGATCGCAGTAGAAGTAGAAGCATAAAAAGCTCAAGGCACGAAAAGCCCATACAAGCACCAGTGACCCCAAATGAAGAACAGGCTTACTATGAGCATGGTGTAAATGCTGCGCTAGAACTGGATGCGGCTTTAATGGCCGATAGCTATAGGCTGCATCAAATACAACAACTAATGTTATATAGTGCACTGATGGCAGGCAATGAAGTTGCTGAAGTTAATGCTTTGCAAGAGGAATCCCAAATAAGTGACGTCGATTTCACTGAACCTCAACTCGATAAAAAGTCTATTTCTAGTCATGCCTCGTCGTTGAACTCAGAAGATGGAGACTCTGAATGTAGTGAAATTTTGCAAATAAGTTTATCATCTGCAACTTCAACTAGTAGCAAAGATGATGGTCGTAAAAATTTGCGAAAAAAGCGTATGAAGAAAAAAGAGCGCCTGAAGCAAATAGAATCAGCTGGCAATGTTAATGGAGACATTTTGGAATTAGATTCAGATAGTTCAGAAGCTTCTGCTAGTCCAAACGATGTAATACAGGTAAAAAGTGGTGATTGCATTTGTATAGATTCCGAAACAGACAATGACACAAATACTGATCAGCAAAGCAGTTCAGAAAGCTCAACTAGTGAAACACAGAGCGGTATGGAAAATAATACTAATGATATTTGCCACGCTGCAGTTGAAACTGTGACGCTATTAAGCTCTTCGGATAGCGAAGTTGAAATCGTATCTGATAATGATGCTAAAGCAACAGTGCAAGAAGAACAAGGCAGTCATGCGCCTTGCTTAATGAAAATAACTAAAGAGAACCCTAAAGAAACCTTGAACTTGTCGAGCTCGACAAAAAATATTGTCGAGCCAGAGAGTTTAATGCCGCTAGAAACAAACGTGTCCAACACATTAATATCAGCGTTTCCGGATTGTCCGACATTGATCTGCTTAGAGCAAATGCAACGAATCGACAGAATACTAGGCAAAGAATCGACGGAAGTCCATGATGTAAATACAGAGGCAACAAAGCCTTCACCTTATTCCCCAACAATATGTTCGGTAGAATCGACACCATCTAGCGATGCGACAAATAAAAGCGACATATCACTGGGCGAAACCGATGGAAAATCAATTTTATCAATTCAAACGGCGACGGTTATCGGTGCCTCTATGTGTGAATCAGCAACACTCGACCCACATATAGACACAGTTGCATCGGATTCTCACTCTAATTCGTCGACAATATGCACAGGCAAAGCTCTCCCTAGCAATACGATTGTGATTGACATCGATGCGATGGAAGAATCAATAGATTCATCAAATATATTAAACCCATCGACTTCATTTTTACATAAG